GGGCGTCGCTAGAGCGGGCCTGCTGTAGTGTGCTGTGGGCGCAGCACCCTGCTCCCTCCGAGGGTGTGGAGGTGGATCTGCCCTGACCGCTGTATGTCTGTCTGAGCCTTTGTCTATGTGCTTGCCTGGTCACTGGGCCTTGTGGAGCCTGCTCACCCCCACGGGCACCGCTGGCCACCACCCCGAGGGCTCGCTGCCTGCTCTGTGAGGAGTTTCTGCTCTGTGGTTAAAGCTGGTGCCCTGCTGGGTTCACTCACCATGCCTGCTGCCCAGGTAACCGGTGAATGGCAGGTGTGCCGTCGCCTTATCCACCTCCTTCACAATCTTCGTCCCTCAGCCGTATTTCCCTCAGGCGTGCTCATGCAAACTGGATTCCTAGCTACCTTAGTCTGCACTTGTGAGAGAGAAACATGGCGGTGTAGGGGAGAAACCACAGCTACCGTCCGCCCCGGGGAACCCCAGAGGCAGGCAGTGCGGGGAGCTGCCTGTCGATAGCTCAGGACTGTGGCATCAGAGCCAGCCCACGCACGCCCTTCCTCTACAGTGTAGTGCCATGCTTGGGCCTTCCTCTTCATCCCGGCGTGGATGTTTCATCGCAGTGCCCTGCAGCAGTGCGGTGTGGGCCGCTGTGGTCAGCAGTGACCCTGAGGCAGAGCATGCTTCCGTCTTGGTCTGTGTGATTCACTGAGTCGCTGCGTGCTCAAGCACCGACCGAGGGATGAGCATCGCATACTGACTTACCCACACACAGTCACTGGGTCTGGCAGAGCTGGTGCTGATTCTGACAGAAAAGCATCCCTCCTGACTTTTCCACAACTGTTCCAGTGACATGACATGCAGCCAAAGCAAAAAGCAGTCAGAGAGCCTCTTGGAACGCTGCCATATCTATTTACTGTGAGACTGGGAAAGAAAAACAAGTCTGCTTACAGTTACAATGGTCACGGCCCCTCAGGCTTTTCTCATGATTCCGTGTTTCATTGTAATAACTTTTAAATGTGTTTCTGGAAGGAATCTGAATTGTGATACTCTCTGGGGACTGTTGGTTTCTCCATTCATCAGCATTACATTCTTGACAGTAGAGGGGTAAAATCACCGTTCAAGCTGGTCTTGGAAAAATACCCATAGGAAATATAGATCTAGGTAGAAAAATAAGGTTTCTGCAAGCACACATGGTTGGATGCATGCTGCTATAACTCAGTGTAAATTTTAAGCTAGGCTAATAAATGTATTGAGATTTTTCTTTCATTGATGAATCAGTAAAAGAAACCAGACCCCTCTCGCGCTGACATTTTATTCATCGGAAGTGGCCTGTGAGTAAAAGGCTTAGAATTCTCCTAAATGCCAGTGGCTCAGTCGCTGGCTGATGTCAGCTGTTAGACACTTGGCCAGTACTAGGATTTCACACCATAGCGTCAAATTTACAGACACAAAATAGTGTTGCTGAGACTGCTAATTTTGCCCTGAAGGCCTGTCCTGTCCTGTATTAATGTGGTTGAATGGTTCTGCTTCCAGAAGGGGGCACTGCTTCAGCACGTTTCTTTTGTAACCACGTGGAAGCTGTACCAGATGGAGCTAATGCTCGTATATACTATCGTGCATCTTCCAAAACAAGCTGTAGATTTTCAGGAACAAGTCTGAAAGTACATTTGACAGTGTGAAACTGCACTGTGTAATGAGGAGCCTTTGATTAGCTAAGAAGAAAAATGAAAAGTCATTGCAGTGAAGGAATTAAAAATGTCTTCAATTTTAATTTAATAGGCTCCTAACAGGACATTTGCCAATAAGCCAGCTGAGTGCTGACTAAAATATAGGACAGGTGACAAAAAAGGCATGCCCTGTGCTCCTCAACGTGTCCCACTGCTCACATCTGCCCAGAGGTGCTGCTGTCACAATATCAAACTCTCCCAGTGAGAAGAATCTCACGAACAAACTATTCAGGCTTTCTCTTGAACCCCCCCTGTGCTGTGCCAGAGCACCGTGAAGCATTGCAGTCCTCCCTGCCTTATCCCACAGAAGCCCATGGCTGCGCACATTTCCCTGGCTGAAGGCTGCTCAAGAAAACCTTTCCAGATGCCTGGAGGGTGCTCTGCCGAGCTAAGGTGTCTGTGCTCCCTCTCTCAAGTCCTGCAGATGGTGCTGTTTCTACAGGACGATACATTTGAACGTGCAACAAAAATGGGTGGCTACAAGGTGTTGCATGTGTTGTAGTTCTCCTCTGCTACAGGAAGCTCTTTCTCCGAGCTATTTTTATTTTTTTTTTTTTTTTTTTTTAAATAATTGATTTGAAGTTGCAGTTTTGCCTGTCTTCCTCTAGTCAGAAGCCTGTCCATTATACCTATAGCTGTGGGGATCATTCTGACTTCATACTCAAGCAGTATCCTTACCGTACTTGGCTGCTAAAATTCTCCTTTGCAGAGGAGACATGAAACTCAGGCCTTGACTGTAGGTGCGATAAACTGTGTGGGATGTTTTGTGATAGGGAGCCGGTTTCCATGAAAGTCAAGCAGAAGGTGCCAGGTCAAATCCTTCCCCTAGTTTCACTGGGTAGGAAATCTTCACGTTCCAAACTGCAGTGCATCTCTGCACTTTGTCCTCTGTGCTAAGGCATCTGCTATAATCTTTCAGTGGTACAGTCAGTTCCCGTTTTAATTCCTAATTACACACTGTAGTTACTACTTGTATTTTAATGCATTTGACCTATCAGATGAGAGGTGTTGGACAGCTTCACCAAAACAGAAAGGAGTTTACTTTGTGTTTTGGTGTTCAGGTCACAAAACCTTCACAGGCTACAACCATTTTTGCTCCACTTCCCTAAGTTTCATGAGGACTTGAACTCAAACTTCTCCCAGAAAAGCCAAAATTGCAGAAGTACAGAGCCACCAAGAGTTTATGAGGGCTAGAAATATCTCTAGTGCACTAAGCTACATCTCTTGGACTTCCACAACACCTGCTTTCTGTTAAGGCCTACGTTTGCCCAGGTGTCCCATTTACCCTGGATGCCATTGCATGCACAAGCAATGATGCGGATCAGCAGTCTCCACAGTTCAGTGGAGCGGTGGTGTTATGTGTTGCGTGATGAATTTGCAGCCCCTAAAAGGGGTAAGATGAGGGAGGCTGCTGGAGTTCACACTCATGCAACATGAAGGAGAGAAGAGGCTCCCTGGGTACTTTCAAGGTATTTCTCAAAGACAATGGTGGTTAACCCAGTATCACCCCAATGGGACTGGTTATCATGTTGTCTACACAGTCAAAATCCTCTAATGAGCTACAGGCACTAGGTTCTAATTAGATACCTACATAAACATGTTGTCAGCTTACGTTTTTATGTGATACATAAGCTTGAGTGGATAAAGGAGCTTCCCTTCAGTGTCTGAATGTTTCCCATCTCAGTGGATAAAGGCATTGTGCTTCACAGTGAGATAACACATTTTCCAGACTGAAGCCAAGCATGAGAATGCTCTCTCGGCAGGTTTGGGCTAGGCCCAAGAGCTATTGCCTTCATTCCTGTGAGGGTTAATGAATCTTGATGGGATGTGTATGTGTGTGTGTGCGCTCGCGTGTGTAAACTTTTAAGTTTTCACACTACCAGCAAGGTGATGATGGCTCTGTTCGTTTCTCAGCTGAACTGTTAATGGCTAGGGAATGTAAAACTCATTGCAGTGCCATGCTGAATGCGTCTGTTCCCTCCGCTCCACTCCCCTCCCTTCCCTTCCCCTCCTCTCCTCATCTTTAGACGACTTTGTGAACTCTTTTGTCTATTTTGGAATTTGTAATGAAGTATTTTTATTACTTTCACTGTAATATGGCTTCAGGTAAAGGTGACATCAAGGTAACTGCATGATGTCAGAGTTGTCAGTCCAGACAGGTTTAGCATTCTTGAACTGGGTATTGAGAAACTCTCCCGAGTATCCACATTGCACCGAAGGTACTGAGAAGCAGGCTGTGCTGGAGTCCAGCTGAGCGGGGTGATGCCCTCCAATGACCAGCTGTACCCTGGAAGCCATTTGGCAGGCAGTGACAGTGGGGAGCATGTCTGAGCTGCGAGAGTCTCCAGAGGGAGTGTGACATCCTCAGTGAGTAATGCTCAGATAATGGCTTGTGATTTCAGGAGCACTGGCAATATTTCACTGCTGCGTGCTCCAGGCTTCACCTTCATAATAATGTTGGGTAGAAGGGCAATTGGTGTACGATAAAAAGTAATAAAAAAAGGAGAAAAACTTTTTCAGCCTTAAAGTATGCCCTAGCAATGAAAAGATTGTGTCATCTGACCTCCTTGTGTGGAGAAGTTCGTGTTCCGGGTACATTTACCTAGCAGGAAGTTCGCAGGAATTCGAGTGAAACTGGGAATGTTGTGCAACGTGCGTGGCTACAGTTCCCCACTGGTTAGAAGATTTTTGTATTTAAGCAATAGATCTGGAGCAATTCCAGGCAATTTGATTTAAAGTAAACATCCTGGATGCAGTGTGTCAGATACTAGCACAATATTGTTTTAGTCTTTCTCATTTCTCCTGTGGGAATAATCATTCCATGAAGAAGGAAAGTGATCTAACGAGAGAATTAACTCAAGAGCTCCAACATTGAATTAATCACAGCTGTCTGAGAGGGGAAGCAAGGCAAACTCCACAGAGAGCTCACTGCATTTCCAAGGAAGGAGGCCAAAAGAATACTCAGACTCGGATAGCAGTTGATCAAAACAGAGGCAGGAAAGATAGGCTTTTAGTAGCTAAAGGGAAGCAAAACTGTGCAGCAGAAAGAGTTTCTCGCCTCACTTCTCTGAGAAGTTAAATATCAGTAGTAGGGGATCACTGCAACTTTTTCTTGCAGACCTCAAAAGCTGCCAGATTGTTGGGGTCTGATCCTCACTGTGTGCTCACATTTACCTGAAGCAGATGATTGATTTCATAGCTTGGCTCTTTTTTCACTCTTGACTAGAGTTGTCCTGCAGCTTCAATGGAATTAGACCAGCTCCCTAAGGTGACTTCATCGAAGGTGCAGGTCTTTTTTTTGCCAAAAGGAAAAATGAGTTGTGCCTGAGAATTATCAGTCTTCAGGCACGTAGGACTTTTAGTCTTGCTGTTAGTAAAGTTTGGCAATATTTCAAATTGTAATCCAAATCCTAATGCATTTGGTCTCTTTACTTAACTCTTCTTGTCTAAATCATCGTGCTCCCTTGGATAATAAAGTAGAGCAAACATATAACAAACCCATGAGCTGTCTAGAGCATGTGGCATTTTTTAAAATAACTCCAAGGTGTGTAAACCTTTTGAACAGAAAAAAGGAAGGAAAATAACCAGAAAAGGCACATAAATTCAGCTAATTTTATTCACTTTATTTTATATAGTCATTAGATATATACCAGGAGCATGTCTGCTCTGCTGAAAGGTATTGCACTTGCATTGACAGATCTTGTGAGCTGATTTCATTGAGAAGATGGACAGAGTTAAACTCTGCCTGATACCCACCACATTGTGTGCAGTGGGGTCATTCCAGAAGCAGCGCCTCCGTGGAATGTGAGATACATCACAAACTCTGTGAGTGACTGTTAGTAGGAAGTCTGCAGGTCCTGCATCTGCCT